GTCAGAAATGTAATGTTGTAAAAATAAACCACCTATTTAGGTTTATTTTTACAACATAGAAAAGAATCAAAACTTTCCGGTACTTCCAAGCGGAGCGCAAAGAAAATCAACAAAATTGTTAGCATGAGCATGAAAACATTTCGTGTATACGTATACGCGACGTATTGTGCGTAAGAAAAACGTCAACAATCTCCATGATTCTTCCGTTCTCGCTCGCATATACATGGGGTGACACGGTCGAATCTTGGTCGAAATACATGGAATGGTGACAGTCCTAGGGCAAAAAGGTTGAAATCACGCATAACTTTTCATAAAGGTTAATGTACCATTCAAAACTTTTCTAAATGTTTGTAAAATTCATCGGTTGCACCCGTAGAATAGGAATATACATTTGCCCTCAAATAAAAAAATGAATTCAAGTTGAACATTGCATTAGGTCCTAAGTAATATTGACAGATTCGCTTCGTCAACTTTCTCTTTGCATCCCCACGGTCATGTAAAGGCATTCCCAGGTATTTTCAGCACATAAATCGATAAAAGAAGCTTTTATCTAGCATCCAATACGACAAACACATCAAGAAACGGTTCTGTGAATAAGTTATTAACGAAAGAGAAAGTCGACGAAGAGAATCGATCAATGTTACTTAGGACCTAATGCAAAGTTCAGCTTGAATTGCTCTTGTAAAAAGAAAATAGTGCTCGTAATAAAATCATGCATTATGCTTCTCTTTCCTACTTTCATCCAATGCACACTGGGCCAGGAATGCAACCTAGCGGAGCAAAATTCATAACTCCGAAACGAAGCATTTCCGCGACTTGGTGTCTTCGGCAAAATTTCTCGTCATAATAAGGACCATCTAATGACATAAACAAATAGTTCAAAACTCTTCCGCAAAGATGGTGCCACAATCTAACTTCTTCTCTGACGTTTTGGAGACTTGATGTCTTGGGCAAATTTGTTTATCTGGACAAAATGAACAGCTCTTTCAAAGACGTAAAATTTCCACAGTCTACTGGTTCCAAGTTATATGGAGTTAAAGAAAAAAATGTCGAAAATATGGTTTTTTTTTTCTGTTTCGGTTTTTTTGCTTACAGCTTTATAATGTTATATTTTTCTCTTATGCAAATACATTAAATAAATAGATTTTGTGAAGAAACATACTGGATTAAACTTCAAATTTCAAAGATATTGTTGAAAAAACGAGAAAAAACACAATTTTTGAACATTAATATCTCCTAAAGCGCAAAAAATCGTAACCTGACATTTTCAGCAAAAATTAAGCAATACTCGATAAACAAAATATCAAAATTTGAGAGAGGTATATTTTGGTGTTTTGTAGATTTCTTCATTTTAATGGAACATTATTTTTTTCTATAACTTTTTCAATGCATTGAAATGGCGTTTTGAAGACTTGACGACTTTGGCAAAATTGTTTATCAATAAACAACTCTTCTTAAGACGTTAAAACTTCACAGCCTACTGTTTTCGAGGTATATTCATTTAAACAATGTATTTAAAATTAAAACACTTATTTTCACATTTTTTCTGTAATTTCACATAACTCGAAAACAGTAGGCTGTGAAGTTTTAACGTATTAAGAAAAGTTGTTTATTTTATCAAGATAACCAACTTTGACAAAGTCGTGAAGCCTTCGAAACACAAATTCAATGCATTAAAAAAAGTTATAGAAAAAAAATCATATTCCACTAAAATGAAGAAATCTAAAAAAAAACACCAAAATATACCTCTCTCAAATTTTGATATTTTGTTTATCGAGTATTGCTTAATTTTTGCTAAAAATGTCAAAATTGTGTTTTTTTCTCGTTTTTTCAACAATGTCTTTGAAATTTGAAGCTTAATCCAGTATGTTTCTTGACAAAAGCTATTTATTTAATGTATTTGCATAAGAGAAAAATATAACATTATAAAGCTGTAAGCAAAAAAACCGAAACAGAAAAAAAAAACCATATTTTCGACATTTTTTTCTTTAACTCCATATAACTTGGAACCAGTAGACAGTGGAAATTTAACGTCTTTGAAAGAGCTGTTCATTTTGTCAAGATAAACAAATTTGCCCAAGACATCAAGTCTCCAAAACGTCAGAGAAAGAAGTTAGATTGTGGCTCCATCTTTGCGGAAGAGTTTTGAAGTATTTGTTTATGTCAATAGATGGTCCTTATTATGATGAGAAATTTTGCCGAAGACACCAAGTCACGGAAATGTTTCGTTTCGAAGTTATTAATTTTGCTCCACTAGGTTGGATTCGTGACCCACTGTGCAATGTAAGCATTAGACATTTTAAGAAATTGCGCTTGGTGTTTTTCTTGCCTGCTGTCCTCTGTCGCCATATTGTCATTATGAAAATGCCATTAGCCTTGGAATAAAATCCAAGAAATTTCAATAAAATAATGGCTAAATAAGAGATCCGAAATGATTTCCAGTGTGCATTGGTATGAATTTATGTATTGAGATCTATTTTCTGTAAAATTAAGGTGATTCCATCAAATTCATATGATTTCTGAAACAATCTTTTTTGTTAACTTGAATTATTTTGGAGGCGCATTTATTTAACGCTCATATTATCTCAATATACACGATAACATTTCAAGCGCATATGTTTTGGAACTTCTAAAAAGTAATATATTTTCTTTAAGATTTTCACTAATGTCGCCATGAAACAAAATTGATTGCATGGTGATCTTGACACCAACACTCAAACCTATTTTTACCGCTAGAGATTTCCATTTGGAAAAAAAAGTTTCAGCAGAACAGAACAACAACAAGCTAATTTATGGCGGTTGCTTTGAAGCCAATACAAATTAAATTGGCTTTATAACTGATTTTCACCAAAGCGTAATAAAACTGCTTGGATACAATATTACTCTTATAGAGGCTATGAGAACCTTTTGTAGAGCATGAGGCTTCCTGACAAAAGGTTTTAAGACAGCTTTATTGTGATTCTCAAACATGCTTTATAAACCTTTTCAAGAGTGGTCCACTAAGCTGGAAGACGATCTTATAGCGGTTATCAAAAGGTTGTGCTGGAGCTATTAATTTTATTGGCGGTTTTATGAAATTGATCTCAATAACCACTAATAGAGTGCAATAAAACAAGAAATGCTACTTGGGATCGGTCATTGTAAAGCCTAACTGAATTTAGACAATTTGACTCGCTGCAGAGTGAGTTTCGGTGCGCTCAGCGGTTCCCGCTTGACGGCCTTAAGCAATTTTATGTTTAGCCTATGGGCGTGCAGATGACCCACTTACACTGTGAAACACAGATTTCCACAATTCAATCCGGCAGATGTTAAAGGTTATCTTCTTGCAGGGATGGCTCTAAGTCCGCACTAGGTACTCGACGCGTCGATTACATGACTGTCGTTCATCTTTCAGTCCGTTCGAGTTCATTGTTGTAGAGCTTTAGTTGTAGAGGATTCAATAAGATGCCGGTGTCATTTTCTTCCTCCATCGATCACGTTACGGCTTCGTTTCTGAAATCTGAAAGTTATCGGTAATTCCAATAGACATCGAGTCAGAATCTTGTGGATCCGTCGCGATTGCTTGAACACCGTATACGTTTGATAATTTCCAGATTCTCTTTCCCCTCCCGCTCCGAAAATGAAAATTCAAACACACTCACAAACGTCATTATAACTTCTTCTTCTTCTTCTTCGCATTTCAAGCTTATTGCATATCGCATATTAGCTTATTGCGTGCTCTCAACTTAGTGTTCTAGATGCACTTCCACAGTTGTTAATTGAGAGCTTTCGATGCCTGTACCATTTATGCATCGGTATAATTGTGTGGCAAGTTCAATCATACTTCTATGCCCAGGGAAGTCGAGAAATTTTCCAACCCGAAAAATTCCTAGACCGGACCGGGAATTGAACCCAGCCACCTCCAGCATGGTCTTGCTTTGTAGCTGCGCCTTTACCGACTGAGCTAAGGGAGGCCCATTATAACTTCAGGGTTGCCAAACTCATGGGATATTGGCACACTTCAGCCTACTTCGGCACTTTCAGCATAGCACATGGCACAGCTTTTGCCACAGCTAAATCCTTCGGCACAGATTAAGGTGTGCCCGAGTTGCATACCCGTTGTAGTTTCGAGAAATTAAAAATTAAAATCGATACAAAATACATCAATCACAAATACTAGCTTCTGTCGCCACTAGTTGATACGGACGGTATGTAAAAGATAATTCTAGCTTTTCCCGGCCCAGGCAGTTGATTACATGCTTAGAGTAAATAACGAAACTGAATTCAATTAACATACATTTACCAACAAACATTTCACCAAACATATAAGGCGTTGCTTCGTGTTTGCTTTCGCCGTAACAGTTTCCAGTGGCATCATTACATTACCGTACGACCATCGACGGCGATGATGATGGTTCTCATTATTGTGAAAAAAAAACTGATTTTGGCAAGACCCGACGATACCTAAAATTAAAGCCAAGAAATATAATTACTGTGCGAGGGACGAAGGAAGCAATCGCTTTGCCATATAATGCTAATGAGCAATGAGCAAGGCGGTACTCATGACGGATGTAACGGAATCGGTGGCTGGTGGGCGGTGAGCGGGGAAATTGAGCGTGTCAACCCCGTTCAAGGAGAAATGGGGACAAAATTGGCGCATTTCTGTTGAGGTGAGAAAATAGCGTTGGAAGAGGAGAGGAGGACTTCCAAAGCGGATGAAAACACATGTTGAGTGAAATATGGCTATGCTGATGTTTACGGGTCGAGATTAGGGTGACCGACCCACCAGGTTAGTTGGAAGTCGGAACGAGATTAGCATGTAACATGTTTGTATGTAGGTACATAATCTGTGTCAAATTATAGTGACCTGAATTCGTAGGTGGCGGTATGCAAATTGAAATCCAAAAACAAGGTGGCGTTTAATTGCATGACATTCGAAATTTGATTTCTTAATAACTGTTACAATGAGTAATTGCCATACTATTAGTTCCTAACGCTGTCGTTTCTCGGTCTTCTTTCAGACCTGCTCTCCAAAACATGGACCTGCTGAAGCACAACGACTGGATCAACTTCTCCGAGTACGAGTATCACGACAGCTTGATCCCGAAAACAAACCAAACCGTGGCCGAAGTCCAGCAGTTCACCAGCAACAACCTAAACCGAACGATCGAGAATGGTGTCTTCCAGAACCCGCGGGTTGCTGCCCTCAAGTCACGGCGTAGCTCGATGAGCGAAAATCTGTACGCCCCCTCGACCATCAGCGGATACGAGGTGGTGGACAAGCTGAAGCCGTCGACCTTCACCATCCTGGGTCACGGATCGGCGCCATACGATGGATCGGCCTACTTCGGAGGATCGGACATTGCCAACTCAGCGGAAGCGATGAGCGAATACGAACGGATGGTTAAATACCACAAGCTCGATGCAACGAAGCCCATTATCACTGATAAGATCACAACCGGGTCCAATTTTAGGTAGGTTTACGATAACTACATTATGTCTCTTGCGTTTTTTCAACATCTTAAAATTTTCCAATTTTAGAGTTTCCGAAGGACGCCAACACAAGAAACCAGCATTTACAATCATCAACGAGAATCTGCCCAAGTCGAGTTCCTTCGACGTTTCACCGGGACCGTTCCTGCCATACGAAGCCAAACAACGACTGGCGGCGACACGGATTCTGTCCGCCAGTTCCGTTGGAACCAGTGCCTTCCTGAACCGCCGAAATCATCAGCTGAACCTGACAGCAGATGAACCGTTCCTAGCGCACCAGCGGCGATTCAGCCAATCGGACGTTTCCCCCACTTCAGTGGGGAAGCGTCGAAAATCCGTCATCAAGAAGGGTGGCGGTGAAGGGAAGAAATCCAAAAGCAAAAACGCCGTCGCTGTCATTCCCAATCCCAATCGGAAGCAACGGGGAGTGCTCGGGATATTCAATCGAGCGACTCGGTCGCCCAGCAAACAGCATCCACATGTCAAAAGTGCCAAACTAACCGTTACCGGAGCATCCGAAGACGGACAATCATCACCGACCCCTTCCGAGCTGACGTCCGATGTGGCTGATATTCCCGACCATCAAGTACGCAATATGAAGCTCTTTTTGAACAGGCCGTTCCCCGTACGGCCGATGCTGTCGCCAGTACAGGACAAAAGTTCGATGGAGAGTTCGCAAGTCGATTTGAAAGAAGCTTCACCAGCTAAGGGAAAGGACAGTCACCAAAGAACACCAATGTTCAACATCCGAGGATTCCTATCCCCAGGGAGATTCAAGACAAAGAGTGAATCACCGACAAGGGCCGAGAAGGGAGGCCTCGCGTCAGTAGGAGAAGCAATGAACACGGCACTGGCTGCGGCAGCAATAGGTGACATCAAGCGAGCGGATAGCAAAGAAAAACAACAACCACCAAAGCGAAGCAGGTTCAACCTGGCGAGAGCCATCATCGACTATGGTAAAAAATCCGACCCAGAAGAGGAAACCAAGAAAGAAAAAGAAGAACCTGCCAAACCGAGGCCGGAAGTGAAGCGTGATGGTCGGAGGAAAGATTCGGAAGGAAATCGAGTGAAGGATAAAAAGGACAGCAAGAGCCCGAAGAAGAAGGGTACGAAAACGAAACCGAAATCGAAAAAGGCTGGCGGGAAGGATGATCATGATGATTACTACGAGGAGGATGAGAAACCCAAACGAGGAATGCTGAGAGGCGCATTGAATCTGGCATCCAGTCTCACCGCAAGAGGTGGCAGCAAGAAGGGCTCCACAAAGGAACCCATCAAAGCTCGACAAGCAGCAAGCGGAAAACGAGCTGGCGAGAAAAGTGCTACGACGGGAACGAACAGCAGAACAACCGCAGGGGCAAGAAGTGGGAAAGCAAGTGAGAGAACAAATCAGCGGGCTGGGGAGAAGAGTGCAAAAGCCGGAGCCAAATCAACTCCAAAATCGGCAGTTGGCCCCAAAGGTAAACAGATTCGGCGGAGCAGTTCGGCAAGTGCCTTGAATGTAGATAGCGTTAAGAAACTCAACCGATTGTATGAGAAGAATGCGAAAGCGGGCGATCGTAATGGGAAAATTCTGAAGGGACAAGACAAGAAATCCCGACAATCATCCGATAGTCTGCTGAAGAAGGCTGATAGTAGAGGAGAATTGAAACAAAAGACTGGAAGCAAATCGGCGACGGAGAAGGGAATCGAGAAGCGAGACTCGGAAAAGTCGTTGAAGAAGAGTGATAGCAACAAATCCATACTGAAGGGTGGCAAAAGAAGCGACTCCAAGGGATCTCTCATTGGGAAGCGGTCCGACTCGAAAACCAGTCTCCATCAAACGGAAGCAATGGCGCTGATTGCCACGACTGCCGCAGAACTTCCTGGTAGCAGTGGAGGAGCAAAGTCCGATGCTGATCCTGCAAAGACTCCTCTCAACACCATGAACGAACCACGCGCTGATAGCGGTGTTAAATCCACCAAGGTCACTCCAACTCCTACCAAGAAGCTGCAGAGTAAAGGATCCTTACTTAGTTTACTGAGCATGCGAAGCTCGACCCGGAAGGCAACGAACGTCGAAAATGGTACGAATGATTCTCGACCGGGTACGGCCCAAACCGGCATAGGTCGCTTGAAGTCAGCTTCGGTGCGGAACGTCAACGAAAAACCAGGAACACCGACGGATGGAGACAGTGGTTCACAAACCAGCATACCCGGTAGTTCAAAGTTTTCTAGACGGGGCATTCTCACCAAAAACAACAGTTTCATTTCGATGAAAAGCATCGTCCATGCTCGATCGTTTATCAACATTCGACCTTCGTCGAAGGATGGTGATTTGAAGAAAAACGATTCCATGCCACAGATGAGCAAAGTGCAGGAAGGTTCACAGGAGCATGACGAAGCCGACGAAGGGGGACTGACGATGGCCATGAGAGGCGGAGGAGGTACAATGACGACCACCTCGGCGACGCACACGATGACGGTGGCCGGTGTGGGCGAGGGCCAGAAAGTATCCAACGAGTACAGTGAACAACGGGGTGCAACGGGCCAGTCGCCGGAGATGGACCTGAAGGGAGATAATCCGGATATGATGGGAAATCAATCAAGTGCCAACACCGACTCAATGATGATGCAGCGGCATCAGGGCGAGGCGGATAACAGGTGAGTGATGCTTTGGCGGGAAGTCTAATTTTGAAGGAGCTCGTCGCTTTCGGTAGAGTTGATGTCTCTTCTTTTTTTTGGGACGTAATTCATTGGACGATGGTTCATTGACCGATAAAGGGATGGTGGTGTTTTGATGACATCAACGAGAAATTGAGTGACGAACTTGATGTAAACATTTGTGTTTGGATTTTAATGCGTGTAATGAAGGGAAACTTTTTACCTATATGTACCACTTATTTTTTATGACAATTCTAGATCGAACTGGAATTAGGGCGTAACAGCGTTTGTAAACAATGGCTTCTCTCGATGCCTTTAATTCCTAGAAATCAACAAGGGAAGCCAATGTTTACAACCATTTTTTTCCTTGATTTGTTTTCCGTCGATCTTGTTTCGAGGCAGCTGCCCCATCTGGAACCTACCTATCTACTCGTCAACTCAAGGACCGGTGACCAACGGCTTATCTTCCAGAAGGCGTGATCAGAGATTTTTTGCCTCAGAAAATCCCGACGGCGCCGACTGGGCTTGAACCTAGGCCTTTTGTATTGAAAGCACCGTTGCCAGTATTCCAGATTTATCTGGATTTTCCAGATATTCGGTCATCCAGCCAGATACACAGACAGATCACATCACGGGAGAGGTGAAAGTCGAAAACAGATGCAACTCTGTTGAATGTTCTCTGCAGTCCGCAAATCGCACCGTGTGCTCCATAATTTGTGCGACGTAGAGGCAGTCTTAGCATAAGATTATTACGAAGCGGTAGGGGTTGAACATTCAGGTCAATTTACCTCAGGATAGCCTCGCAATCTGTCCTTCCTTGCAGGATATCGGCCACGGTTAGGGCTCTGCTTGTGTCTCTTCTAGTTCGGAGAAGCTCTAGGTCGATAAGTTGACAACGGCTTTCGTAACTGGGTAATCGAAACGGATCATTCCAAGGCAATCTACGCAACGCAAAACGAAGAAAGCGACGTTGAACAGATTCAATTCTCTCGGCACCGTTGTTGTAGTTTGGGTTCCAAACCGCTGAACAATACTCAAGCGTCGATCGAACAAGCGAACAATACACGGGAAAAAATCCGATCTCCGAAATGAGAAAAATTACTCATGATTTCATGAGTCGCGTTGTATTTTCATGTTATGAAAATACACCATGAATAATATTCATGATATCATGAGCAACTTTTGCGTAACGCAGCAAACATTCCCAAAATCATGAATCATCCGAGTTGAAATCATGATCTAAATTCATGGGTTTAACTTTTGAACAAAAATGTTAAAGAAAAAAAAAGCCTCAAACTGGATTCGAACCAAGAACCTTGAGATCATTAAACCCATTCTTTGATCACTAGACTATCAGTACTTGTATAAGATGGAAGACAAAAGGCGTATAAGAGATACCTATGTAGTGCGGTTTATGGACACGGTTTGCCAAGTACGTGTAACGCTTGTAGTGGTCTTGATTCCACTGCATTATGAAACCAAGAATTTCCATGACGAAATCAAAAATCATTGTTACGATTTCATGGGATGGCAAGTTTTTTCATTTCATGATTTTTTGTTCATGAAAATGGAATCGGATTTGTTTCCGTGTAGAGAGATTTTAGACAGTAGATATCAGTGAAGTTTTTAGCTATCCTAAAAATGAACCCTAAAGTTCTTGACGCCTTATCGACAACATATGCAACACATTGAATGAAAGCTGCGAATCCAAGATCATAAGATGTTGTTTTCGTGAGAAGGTAATAGCGGAGCATTTGGCTGGGTTCACTACAATTCTGTTTAAACTGCACCAACTAGCGAATACATTCAGCTGACGTTGAAGAAAGTGACAGTCAGCAATGGAGCAGACTCGTAGGACGATTTTGAGGTCATCTGCATATGATAACCGAGGAGCTTCGATGACCAGATGCACGTTGTTGAAGTACAGTATAAAAATTCACGGTCCCATGTGGCTTCCCTGAGGTATACCTGATGTGGCGAAGAAGCTAGCTGATCTGAAATCTCCTATATGGAATTGTTTCAACATGTTTGCATGTTAATGGGTTGCAGAATCATGAAATTAGAGCCATTTTCTAAAGATTTTTCGCTGAAAAAAATCTTCAAACTTTTAAAAATAATGGGCCTTAATGTTTGTTTAATTGAAATTTTTCAATATGGAGGAACTTTTATAATTTTTTAATTTAAAGAAATCGAAAACTGTTCAGGGTTGAAAACAATAAATACAACCTACGAAAATTAGCAAAGCTTTTGAATCTAGACAACCACCAGGATTTTAAAGTATGTTTGTGAGATTTTTGAGGATAATTCATAAGGAAAATTTGAAAGGCATCTGATAATATTTAGCATTTTTTTTAAAGTACCTGTGAATATTGAGTTACAACAGTCTGAATTTCATTAGAATTCTGAATTGCCCTAGAATTTCAGAATTTTAAGGTAATGTTGAAAATAGTTTACAGTGAAGCAGTGAGGCAAATTCTTTGCGATACCAAATGAGAATTTCAAGTTAATTCGGAGTATAGTTCAAACCATCTTTGTAAGCTTCGTGGTCGTGCGTGGTCACTCGTCCTTCAGACGTATTGTGAGTGCCACGAAGTGACGGTTCGATTCCCGCTCCAGCCAGTGGAACTGGGTGTGGTGTTTTGTCAGTTTTCTAGTGTTAAGTTTTCAGTCTGTGCAACCTCCGGTTGAAGACAGTGTCAGTTGTCTTTTAAAAACTATGATGACAATTGCATGGAGATTTTGTGAAGAATGGAAATAGAATTCGGAAGAGAAATCAAAGAAAGTTCTTATGATAAAACTTAAGGAGTATGCTGATACGAATCGTGAGAATAATTTCAATGGAATTCTGTTCAATGTTTCTATGGAAATTAATTTTAATAAAATTTAAAAAAATAATCGGAATTATGCCAAAAGAACATTTGGCAATTTCTGGGAGACTTTCAATGTCATTTTGGCAAAGTATTTGAGTACTAGGCAATTACTGAAAAGGATTTCAAAAATAATTCTGCCTTACCTACAAAGCAGCTCAAAGGGAATTATCGGATAAGTCTGATAATAGTGTGACGGTCATTCTGAACAGTGTGCCAAGGAAATTATTAAGAATATTCTAATGGAATTTCATAGAGTAAAATTAAAACAAAATAATGTCAATTCTTGGAAATTATTGCTAGTTTGAGGGAGTTGCGGAATCGGAGAGTGATTTATAAGAGATAACAAGAGAACTCTTTGAATGTTACTGAAAACGTTTGTCAAGATGAATTATCAAGATTATTTTAGGGGAATCCAGAAAAGAAGTATGATGGAATTCTAGGATGATTCAAATGGAACTCTGACAAAGGACGAAGATATCCTGTAAAGAATTCCATGTAAATTCAGACTAACAAAAAATTTCATGATCTGGGACCCAGGAAATATATAAATTCCGCTTTCAGACTTTGATTTTAGTTATATAATAACATTATTCGTAATGGTATTGCAAACAGTTGAGTTACCTGGAGTTTAGGTAAACTGTGTTTGTTAGACATTGATTTCCACTTCAGCCTGGTGAATTTCACTTTTAAATAAAATTGCCTACTGCCTACTATGATGTCAAGAATTACATTGTAAGTCTGATCAACCTCAGGGTAATATTAAAATTATTTAGAACTATTAAAATCTTTAAGGCATATTATGGTACTGCATCAAAAAGGAAGGACTACATCGACTATTAGTTAAAAAATCCATCCCATCAAATTTGCTTGATTCTTTGCTTTTCATTCTTTACAAAAAAAAAGTTACAGTTTACAAATCAATTCTAAAAATATTTTCTGCAGTATTTTACCAACGATTGAACTCAATTTTTGAAATGCTGCGTAATGGATATTCAAACTTTTTGGGCACACTGTGCCAATACTTTTCTTAACTTTTGGACGATTTAAACAATGCTAAAAAGTTGTTTGTTTTATATAATTTATTTAAACATGTAATTAGTTTTTTAGTTTTAATAGCATTATTTTAACATGGATTTGATTTTTGAGCCTTCCAGATTTTTCCAGATTTTATATTTTAACTGGTCCAGATTGTTATGAAAATGACCTGGCAACGCTGATTGAGAGGCAGTCACGCTTACCACTACACCACCGGCGCCGCTGAATGACCAATTTTGTGAAGAAGAGAAAAGAAAGCAACACCAAGAGCCAGCGTTGCCGGGTATACAGATTTATCGGTATTTGTACCGATACACAGATAAGCTTTCTCAGAATGCCGATATTTGAGATTTTATACCGATTTATACCGATTTTTATTAATAAACAAAATTATTATTGCCTGTCATTGCTTAACCTGCAATAGGAAACTAGCTAATGTTTCCATTTCTTCGTCGTTTTTGGACACCCAGGAATCGAGAAACAGCTGATGGCTCATCTCGATAATTCCAGGGAATCAGGAAATCCTTTATTCAGTGAACAAATAGGTCCCTCAACATGTTCATTTTTGACTTCCTGAAGCAATTATCCCTGGGAAGATTCTTGCAACTTTCGCATTGATTTCTTCCACCTTACCCCTTAATTTATTTTTCAACACCAGCTTTACCACCACCGGGAGAAAATAATCAACATCAACCGCCGCCAAACCCAGGAAATCCGCTTTTCCAGTGATGCACCGGGGAAACCAACCTCAAATGCAGGAGCAACAAATGCCCATTCAAACCGACCCGATGATGCTGCAGATAATGCACCAATTGCAGCAAGTAGCAATCAACAGCAGCAGGAATCGGCACAGCGGCAGCAGCAGGCATCTTTAAAGCAGCACGAGCAAGTAATCCGGTCAACAATGTCAGCTTTCGGTCAGCCACCAACGCATCCGGAACAGATTCTCGACTCGCTCGCCAACAACATCGTCGAGTTTCGATACGAACCGGATAGTGGCGTCACGTTCGCCGCCTAGTATACGCGGTACGATGGCCTGTTTTCGAATTATGCCGTTCGGCTGGATGATGAGGCGAAGCTCCGCCTACTACTTCG